AGTAAGCTACTATTTTCTCCTTTCTTCCATCTTTTCCTTCTTTTATTTCCCAATGTACATAAAGGGCTAATCTTCACTATAAAATAGAAACCACAGATAAGCAAAAAGAAGAAAAAATTGTCTCTCTACCCAGATATAACCAATATTTACTGTATATCCTTCTAGAATTTTTTGTCAGAAATACATGTAAATCTTTTCAACAAAATGTGGTTTATTAAAAATAAACTGTTCTAAAGTCTGATTCTTTTTTTAAAAAAGTAAACAATATACTATGGTGTTCTTTGCATGTCAAAAATATAACTCTATGGTATCCCATTTAGGAGAATAGTCACAAGAAGTTTAAACTCGTATGACTGCATAATTATTTATTTAACCCAACCCTAATCTGGGACATTTAAACTAACTTATCCTTTAAATTACTACTTGGATTTTTTAAGTCCACTTTTTATTTTTAAGAGTAGCTATATAGATACAACTCACCTTCAAACATCCAGGAAGAGAATAAGTATAGCACCAGGGAACAACCTAAGGGAAATAGTTGGGAGAATAAAAGAAATGGAGCCATTTGAAAATACAGAAGAACTGATGTTATCTCACTTTAGTATTAAACTATGTGAAAGAGGTATTTAAGTGCAAAAAATCTTAAGATTTTTGAGATGGTGCAGATACAGTTAAGTTAGAGGAATTGGTTAGATTATAGGTCACTTATTTTTAGAATGATTACTCCACATTTGCTATTGTTTAGTACTTTTTAGTTTTAGTTATAATGTATATTTTAGACTAAAATATGATAAAATAAATTGATAAAAAACAAATTTTTTTTCAGGCAGTATTTATTTCATACGGTAAATGTGTTCTTAATGGAAAGAAAAAAATGAGCTTTCAGTTAAACATTTTAGATCTATTTATGACTATTTCTCCACTAATACAAATATAAATTTTATTATTCTATATAGATATGGAGGTTGGAGTTTTGGGTTGCCTTTGACTGACGACCTTCGTTTTGATGTAACAGAGGTTCCTGCCAATAGAACACTTGCCAAGGTAAATTATGTACTTTCTTCTGGAATGTCATATAAATGAGAATGTGAACTTAAAATGTTCAATCATTTTCATGAGGTAAAAACAAGACATGGGTACAATCAATTTGAAAAACAGTTTGGCATAATACATACCCCAAAGCACAGCAATTCTAGTCCTGTGTATTTCACCCAGGGAAATGTGTATACATAAGTATCAGGATACATATGAAAAATGTACATAGATTTCTCATATTAGCCAAAAACACAACCCGAAATGCCCATATACAGTAGAAAAAAATAAATTGTTATATTTTCATTCAATAGGCCTTTCAGCAATGGAAATGAATGAGCTCGGTTCTATACAACACACAGGCTAAATCTCCCAAACGTTATTAATAAGCGAAAGAAAAAGATGAAAAGGAATATATAACTATAATTGCCTTTACTGTAAACTTTAAGAGTAGGCAAAACTCAACCATAATGTTTATGGGAGAGAATATCATCATTTGGAAGGATACAGAGTGTCAGAGAGAAGATGACCTGGATGCTGGAGATTTCTGTTTCTCAATCTGAATGATGGTTCAATGGGTGTACTCCCTTCATCATTTTTTGTTAAACTATACATTAATGTTTTATGTATATTTTCTTAATGTATGTGTCATATATGTTTAGCTTTGTTTCTTTTTTTATGCAGTTATTGCCAATTTATTATTCGTAATTTTGATTTTTTTTTTAATTAAAGTTTGTTGGGGTGACAATGGTTAGTAAAGTTACATAGGTTTCAGGTGTACAATTCTGTAATACATCATCTACATCATCTATATATCACATTGTGTGTTCACCACCCAGGGTCAACGTACGTGTCATATGTTTAGCCTTGTTTCTTAAAGAACATGGAAACTTAACAGAATTTGATGGAGATAAACAATCCTGTTGGCTTTTTCCCCTTTCTAGATCATACCTANTATGATGATGGGGTTTCCGCGGTACTAGCATTGTTCTGTCTCCTGATCCAGTTTCTGGTTCAGGTTCAGTTTGTTAAAATTCATCAAGCAGTACACTTATATGTGCTTTTCTGTGTATACAATATAATTCAATACAAAATTAAAGCTAAATATTACATTACATATATATAAGGTTATCTTTCTATTTGTGAAACCAGTGGCATTCTAGAATGTGTGTGATCTTCAAGTTGATACAACTTGATGTCAGGTGAAATTCAGCATTCAGATTTTAGAGTAACCTGCAGCTTTATGCTCTTGGTATACACGTGAGGTCCCAGGCTCAGGCTCTGGGGCATTGTGTGAAGGGTAGAAGGGAAAACCGGAAAGAAAATGCCAGGCTTTCCCAAACTAAACTTCACACAGGTGAAGTGTGAGAAATTCCAGTGAAAAGTAAGTGGTCAGGAAGTGCAGGAAGCTACGAGCATAAAAATAAGGGGTTAAAGCTAAATTCTGAGACTGGTGAATAATGATGTACCAGTGCATTTAATTTGACAAATGTATGATGGTAACGTAAGATGCTAACAATGGTGAAAACTGGGCAAACGTTATCCAGAGGCTCTGCATTATCTTTGCAATAAATATACATGCAACTTGGCAACATATCCATAAACTTTTTATTTTGAAATAATTTTAGAGTTATGTACATAAAGATTAGATTTAGATTTCTATAAAATTAAACTTAGATTTAGATTTAGATATATGTAAACGAGCTCTGACACCTAGGTTTGGTACCTTAAAACTAATAGAAAAAAATGTTTCATCCACTGCTGTCAGTCCCTGGGAAACTTAAGGCTGCTAATGTGATCTCTTCAATTTGGAGACAAACATTTGTTTCTTCCCTGTGAATTATTGAGAATATTTTAAGTCATCTTAGCGTTAAATGTTATCCTTCAAAAATACCAAGTTTGTTAGCATAGTAAAAGAAAAACTGCACATTAGTTAACTTGTATTCTTTTTTGGCTTCAAGTGAGCCCTAAACACATGTATATGCTCTCTCTCTATAACTATTTGTTCTAATTTCTTGGCATAGGCAAGAGGCCTTCCTTTCCAAAGCTCTTTAACATCAGAGGACAGATGTCATAATCCACCAGTTGTGATAACAGACAAATCATGAGACTGAAGCTCCTTGATACAAAGAACTTAATGTTTAATTTTATTTTTCAGGAATGTCCTAAATTTAATTATTCGCCACCTCATAGAAGAACTTATTCTTCCCAAGTAATTTATAACCTCACTGGGCACCGCTTAGAAAATTATCTTATATCAACTGCTAATGAGTTTATACAAAAAAGGTAAAAATATTCTGTTTATAA